GTATTATGTTATGGTTATATAATGATTGATGATTTTATAATAAAACTAAATGAAATAATAAAGCACTTCAATCTATATATACACTGTCCTCCAAAAGTTAAGGGACAACATGTTTTTTGTATCTAATTTGAGAATGAAGCAACCTAAAAAGACAAAAAAAAAAGCAACGTAAAAGAAATTTGCAGGACATGTACACTAAACAGTTCTTTAATGTATGCGACATAGAATGTTTCTAAAGTTCAACAAAAACACGAATTACAACAAAAAATTGCACTATTGGCAGAAAAACCTACTCTTGGAGAAACAGTATATCACAGTTTTTTGAGGAAGCATGGGGTTGTAACAGTACAAAAATGGGTTCTAATAAGGAATGTCTCCACCCCTAGCTGCAATACATTGGCGGCAGCTACGTTCCGTGCTCTCAATTAAGTTGTCGGTTATTGAAATGGGAAGCAACGACCAGGCACAGAGTAATCCTTGTTGGAGCTCATATAACGACCTTGGAAGAGATCTTAAAGCAGCAACTTGTCACCCAAAGCAGTCTCAAAGATGCTCTATTGGATTCAGATCTGGGGATTGAGCTGGTCATTCCATCCGCTCCATATCGTTGCTGAAGAATATCGAGGCCAAGATATTCTCCAGCAACCTGAGCTTGGTGCGGTCGCTCATTGTCGTCCATCAGAAAAAAATCCAGCACCAATAGCAGCGGCATATGAGCCGATATATTGATCAAGGATATCGTCTCGTTTACTCACACCGATCGAAGTTCCTCCATGGAACACATGCAGGTCAATGTGATAATCCATATAGATCCCAGCCCAAATCATTATTCTACCACCTCTGTAACTGTGTCCGCCTACAACGTGGGATTGGCTGTATCTGGTGCGTTGTTCCCACTAGATCAGCTGGCGACCTGAATTACTCTTACATGTGAAACTGGACTTTTCTGTGAAGAGAACAGAAGCCCATTGTTGAGCGGTCTAGAGGACGCGTGTTCTCCTTCCCAACATAAACGTATCTGTGTCCTCGGGGTAAGGGGACACAAACAACTGGTCGTTTAACATACAGCCCTGTATTGCGCAGCCGTTTGCTCACTGTAGTAGCTGAGATTCTTGTTCCTGTAAATTCTTGTTCCCTAAATGATCTGCCATGAGCTCAGGCACAGTAATGTCGCTCCTTCTTCTGACCGAAAGAGCTAAATAACTGTCTCCAGCAGGTGTTGTAACTCTTGGTCTGACTAGAACATGGCTTCTAGACACAGAATCCTCGGATTCAAACTGATTCCATGGTCGCTAGACTAGGCTGCGAGAGAAATTGAGAGATCTAGAAGCATCAGCTTGTGACATCTCAATTTCTATCCATTCGATCGCCCGCTACCTCAGCAAATCTTGCGCATGACATCTCCTGCACATTGATAGACCGTTCTGGGATATTCTCCACGAAATTGTAATAATAACTGAAAATCAACACCCGTGAACAAAATGTACGATTTTTTCATTTTTCTCCATTTCCTATATAAGCATTCATTTATACAAAATATAATTGGTAACTATTGTTTTTGCATATATTTCCTTAACCTTCGTTACTGTCATGCATACGAACTGTGAATTTAAACGTTACTGACATTTTTGTAATGGTGAGCTTTGGAAAACATGCTGTTCCTTAACTTTTCGAGGACAGTGTGCAATAAATGTCTGTTTTTGTGTTTGTTCGCGATTAATTCAGTCACTAGTATAGCTATCGTCATCAAACTTTCTACAGTTATTTTCTGTGTCTTGAGGAAGGTCGATGTCTACTTTCCCCCCCCAAAAAAAATAGCTAAAAATAAGAGGTATTCATAAAAAACTCTGAAAACACTAATTTTCGTCCTCATTTTTCCATGTGGCTACAGTCTTCCCCGCTGGAGATAAAAATCTGTTTTATTTGGAGAAGTGTCGCTACTGCTCGCTTTCAAATCGGAGAGTTTGCTAATAAAAAATTTATAAGTTTTACAAAATAGGAAATGAAAATCGCACTGTCAAACATTAAATACATTATCTCCGATTCCAAAATTTCTCGGGAAGACATTTCGACTGTTTCTATCTTTGTACGACATTAATCAGCCGAGATATTAGTTAAAGACTCTGAAAACACTAATTTTTGACCTCATTTTTCCGATGGCAACAGCCTGACGAGTTGGAGATAAAAATGTGTTATTTCGAAAAGTGTTGGTACTGCTCGCTTTCAAATCGTAGAGTTTGTTAATCTAAAATTTGTAAGTTTTATAAAATCTCTCTATATAAAGAAGAATGCGTGTTCGTTTGTTCGCGTTACTGGTTTCTGATCAATTATGATCAATGTTTTGCCACATTTAATCGACTGAAATTGAATATAAGCGAAATTTTGGAACTTGAGCTTTTATGACCATTTAACTAGAAAGACGAAAATCATTAAAAACGTTGTGCCATTTTTGCTGATAAAATGAGAGAGAATTAGTTTAATTTTCTACCGAAATTTTTATATGGGTTCCATATCGCACCAGACTGAAAAATGCATCACTATTTTTTGCATCGTTATTGGAGAAGGATTACAGCGGTATCGTTCTGTCTGTTGTTACATTTATTGAGATGTACTAGCGCGCTAGGATTAAATAATTAAACACCTCGTATAAAGTATAAATAAATAAATAAATAAACAAAACAAAAACATCTGAACGTTTTCAGAATTTAAGGTCGCACGAAGCGTTATTGTGTTAAACGCTCTCGTTGAGCTTTCTGACTACCAGTTTATTGTTTCACTCGCTCCTTCTAACCCATTTTTGGTTTGTCTTTTTTGCTTTATCGTTAAGCCTAATTTCCTTAGCATTTACGTTATATAAAATTCAACAGCAAAATTACAAAAAAATTTAAAAGATCTCACTTCGCGAGAAGGCAAAAATACATAAAAACTCAAAATAGCTGTATTAAAAATTACGAAGTAAATCTTAAACACTTATTTCTTGGAAAAGTTTCCAGAAAGGATTAAGAATGATTTAATTGGCAATAATAAATGAAGGCGTTATCTTTGTTGTTGCGAAGCTAAGTTTTCTCTAGATTGGCAACAAATCCACTAGTTCTGCTAAGTTTCAAATGTAAACAATTAATGGCCGACTATAAAAAAAAATAGGCTTAGCGGCACTTTTAAACAACTTTTAAAATTGTTGATAATTCTAAAAATATGGCATACAGATTTACTAAAGGCATAAAAACCTTAACCGAAAGATAAAAACAACATAATTCAATCATTTTTAAAGCAAAAAATGTACAATTTACAAACATATAAGAGTAACGAAACTGAGATCACTGAGCCGGGTAACAGAGTGGATATATATATATATATATATAAATATATTTATATACGTTTCGTGCAGCCGATTGCAACCACAATACGAGGTGCACATCTACATGTTATAGCAGTCCTATATACAAAATTTCAACGTTCTGAAGCTACTCATTTTTGAGTTATGCGAGATACGTACGTACATACGTTGGTACAGACGCCACGAAAAATACTCTTCAGAATTAATTTTAAAGCAGTTTTATAATTTTTTGAAGGAAACGAGTCTTTTATTCTGTCCTTACGAACAGATATCACGCAAAAACATCGTTAAATTGCATTCGATAGCGGTCAAAATGGATATGGTTCATTGAAATATGCTGCCTGAAACTTTTCGCGATTACAATACTTCCTTTTTACTTCGTACAAGGAAGTGAAAATGAGAATGAAATATGCCAATCTCTTAAAAACAGTGACATAAGAAATACGATAAAAAATTGTTGCAAATCCATATTTCTAAAAGAATGAAACTATTCAAAATGATGCGATTTCATCAAAAATTTATCAACAACAATAAGAAAGGAAAATTGTTGCCAAAATCATATTTTTAAAGATGTGAGATGTGAGAAGTGTACTCGGAAGCTTCATTTATTTATTTATTTTTTTTAAATACAAAATATTATCATTTTTCCAAAATTCTTTTTTGTAAAAGCAGTCGGAAGAATGAAAGTTTAACGTGTCCAAAAATCAAAGAAAAATAAACTGTACATTTTAAACATAAACGTTTTTTAGAAAAAATCCCGTTGAAAAGGTGTTAAGCTCCCTTTGTTAAATAAATTCGTATAATCGATTTATTGAAACACGAAATTTATTTTCAGTTCGAAAAATACAATACCTAAGTGCCTACATTTCATGACGATGTGAAAATGGAGTGCGTAGAGTAAAATCTCGCTTTTCTATAGCCCCTTATATCCCAAAATGAGGCGATTTCATCAGAAAACATAAAATAAAAAAAGTCTAATTCGAATTTCGAAAAAATCGCTTCAAGGTGCACTGGCTCTTGTCTAGATGCACCTATGTACCAAATTTCGTAGCCGTGGGTCTATTAGCTTACGCGCACGCGAACGAAAGACGCATACACACACAGACAGACTCTTTGTTTTATTATATGGTAGAGATTTCATATTTTGGAAAACTTTAACAAATTTTTGATTAGCAAATTCAATGATTTCAAAACAAGCACTGTACGAAAAAAAAAATATTTCACTCTCCAGCTCGCGAGACTGTGTATCGGAAATTCTAATGATATGCTTTTTTAAATATCTTATGATATTGCTGTTGAATTGTATTTTATGGTTTAAGTGCGAAGAACATGATATACAATAAATAAAGTTAACAAACAAAACGTTAAAAAAAGCGCTCTTTTGGGCATAATATATAAAATCTGAAAGCTTTATGAATTTTTTTTAACTATGTCACTTTTACTGTAACTAAATTTAACCGAAACATAATTCATTTGCTTGTTTAATTTATTAAGAGTTTAATATACTGAAGAATATTCATATTTTAATTTTAAATTTGATAATCTGAATTTTTTTTTTGGTAGATTATAAAATTTTTAATAACGGTCAATTAATTTTACTATTTTGAACGAAATTTATCTTTTAATCTCGCGTTAATTAACGAATGGCTTTATATTCTTATAGAGATCCCAATAATGCTGCGGAAGAAGATGGAAAAATTACAAGCGAGCGCGGTCGAGGTCGTTTTGAAAAAATTGTCTGGCCTCTCTACGACAGCGTTCATCAAAAGTACATTGCTATAGGTAAGTATAAGTTAAGATACAATAACACGCTGAACAATATAACGCTGATTTTTGTTGTTTGACTTCTAAATTATGTATAAGTTAGTTAACGTGTTTTGTTAAAAGAATAGATTTTTAAACTAGGCATTAGGGAGTACGAAATATCTAGTATTAAATTTGTTAGATGTTTTATTTTCATTATTTCATGTAGTTTCATTATCTTATGTATAGCTAGATATATGAAATTATTAAGCAAAGTATGAAACGTTCTAAATTTTAACTAAAAGCAGTTATGTTAATTATCCCGTGATTTGTAAATAACTAGACTTGATTTGTGCTCGCATTGAATAATAACATGAAAGCATATAAATTGCTAATATTTAAATTCGTATAGTTTGACATTTTCTCTCAAATCTAAAATATTTGTTGGTACATTCAAACAGCGGATCAGTATTTTCTTATGTACAGTACACGAGAGCTGATGAAATGACCTGTTTATAACGCCGCTCCAGAATACATCTGAAGAAGACAGAGAATGCTTTTCGAAATCGGAAGTCTGTACCAAAGATTAACCAACGAGTCTTTCAAACTTTGAACGAATCATTACATACGTTTTATACAGTACATGAATCGAAGTAAACGACAGGATAAAAAGGGAAGAACGAAATGGGTGGCGAAAAGAAACCTGCCTATGTACTTAATTCCAGGTCATTAGAAATATTTTACAATGGACTGCAGCATTTCTTGATAAGTCTATTATTATCAGCTGAGTATTTACAAATTAAACAAATTTTACATTATAAAGTGAACTGTTAAAAATAAAATTATAGACTTAAAGGTTTTTAAGAGTATTTACTACTATGTAATCAGTCAATTCATTAAACAGTACAGTAATAATTTGAACATTTAATTAAAGATCTTATGTCACGTCGAATGGGAAAAATTTGGAATCTGATCATTTGACGGTAGTCTTAAAAGATAAAAATCTTATATCCTGTATTATAGCAGTAACTCCTATGAAGTCTCAGGGATTAAATAGTATTGTATCATAGCCTGGCATAATGATTCAGAGAACTGAAAAGTTTCCGTTTACTAGAGTTCATTTGTCAAAACAGAACTTTCAAAGCAATGCGCGTAGGAAGTTGTAGCTATGCCAATAGTAAGGTCTGAAGCTTAAAACGAACATATACCATTAAGACATTTTCCTTGTAGACACTGAGAAATTTAAATGCCATGTTCAAATGCCTGCACCTAATTTTCAGTGTTTATAAATGGCCGATCAGGAAACGTTTTTTCATTAGATTTTTCCGATCTTTCTTTGAACAGCCTCACATATGTTCGTACTTGACCATCTATCACTCGATTGTCCCAGTATATTTCGCATGTCTGGCGATGTGAATGTTCAGTTTTCATTATGCCTTACTCTTAAGGATTTGTTAACTTGTCGTATTTTACAACAGCGGGCGCTGGACTTTCTTAAGCATTTTATTCCCAAACCACAAACTTAAAGTTTGACCCCATAAACGCAAGTTGTGTAAGATTGTGCACAAAGAATGCCAAAAATCTACACATGAACTTATTCTCATGAATACATGAAATTGCAAACGGTACTCAAAAACGAGCTCTGTATATAGAATAGTCCTCATACAGATTCAATTTTTTATACCATTAGATTTAATACATAGTGCAAAATAATCACCGAGTGCATTTTTCCGAAGCCAACATTGAAGAAGATTGCAAAAGCTGCGAAGTTGACCTTTGACACTATTTCAAACAATGACGAGTCTTGGTTGCACTTGTTTTTAACATATTATAGATAAATTATTCAAATCGATTCACAGTTCCAAACGATAAAAACTACCTTCTGTAAAAGTGGAAGTGAATATCAGTACCAATGATGCTCAGAATGAATGTTTATTTAAGCTTTCAGAAATACCGTTCGCTTTTAGAGATTGTGGCAGTGAAAGTTTTCAATATATTTATTATACGCACTGAATTGCTGAATAATTCCTGCAGTTAAGTCATTATTTAATGTTAGAAATTTGAAATAAACACTATAGCCATGTTTATGGGAAAATCTCGCAACATTTCAGACATTTTCAGTTCTAAATTTAGACATTTTTCGATATTTCAAAGTTTTCTAAATGCAGTATAAATTTTTAAAAAAATATTATTTGATTATTACAATTTCCCTCGCTACTTTGTCTATGATAAAATGTCCAGGAACCTAAGTAGCAAGCAACTTATCGCTGCGCTCAAGTAGATAATGTAGACTCGAGAAGGGGTGAAATACCCTTTTATTCACTCAAAGAAATAACAACAGTTGGCCCCCTTCTCTGGCTTATAGGAAAGACTTCACTCGGGCTTTTAAATCAACATAAGAAAATAAGAAAGCAATCTAATACTAACTAAAATAGACCTAGCCGAAGCTAGACATAGATATCTAAGGTAGTTGGCCCTTAATTCAAACTAGTCGCCGATTATCAACAGACACATACAATACAGTCGAGCGTAATAGATTCAAGAGTTAAGTAGCCAGAAGGCAAACACGCGCCGCTAAGGACTCCTAAGCATTCTGTATGAAAGTTATTTGAACTTCCTGTAAATACTATTACTAGCTCATTTGCATTCAATGCGATTATAAAACTAATTCTGGTAGGGATTTGTAAGTGGAAAACAAAAACTGAAAGGAAAGAGTTTCAAAATTAAAATAATTGTTATAAAATTAAAATACACCTTACATTATTATTCGGCAAAATATTTTCTTTTCTAAATTAAATTTTTCTTCATGTGTTAACATTTAAATATATTATTTTATGAAATGTAAACATTAAACAATTTAACATTCCTTAAATTCTTTGACTTCATTATCCATTTTCCGATTGGGACAGAAATCTAGAAATTCTTTCAAATGACAACCACTTTCGTATACATAGCGAATTATTTAAAACGTGCATCCAGGAAAAGGGATTGTTTTGCGACTGAATATCTAGCTAATCTCACAGAAACAACTTATAAGGTATTTCTCCCGCCTTCTTAGCGTGCCTTCGTGATGCAGTGGTCTGCACGCCGGGCGCGTGTTCCGGCGGTCCGTCGCTCCATTCCCGGCGAAGGCATTTTTCAATCTCTCTTGCTTCCAAAAAAATCCTAAAGCCTTTATAGTGGCACCCGAACTAAAAGTGGGGAGGGGGATTCTCCACACCCAGGATTTGGCGACTGGGTCCTCTAAAACCCTAGTCGCCCTTTAAAAGGGGGACTATATAAGGCATTTTTCCTGCCTTCTTAACGTGCCTTCGTGGTTTAGTCGTCTGCACGCTGGCCGCGTATTCCAGAGGTCCGTGGTTCGATTCCCGGCGAAGAGGTTGCTCATTTTTCAATCTCTCTTGCTTTCAAAAAGCCTAGTGTCTCTACAATCTTTACCAGGTTACAGAAAAGCATTAACGAAATTTGTATCGACTAGATATACGAAAACCTATTCATTTTCGGAACCTATTTTTAAGGCAGGATATTGCTATGAAATGATCCACTGTTCCTCAAAATCCTGGAAGTCTAGTTTCTTTAAGTGAAAGGAAACTCTAAAAATGAAACTTTAGTTGAATTGTAAAATCAAGAACGTTTCTATAGCATTTAATTTTCTAATTTGCTACCTATCTACAGGTTTTATTCAGGTGGTTCTTCAAAGAACACTTGTAAAAGAAATAGCCCACGAAAAGTGTGTGTCATATTATTCTCAGATTTTACATAGTTCTTCCGTACATCTGATAAAATACTCCATTAAAATTCTATTTTTAGCTGCACGTTATTAACAGCTTTTTAAATAATATAACACGTAAAACAATTTACTCTTCCAACTTGTCGTCACTACAGAGCTAACCACTTACTCAAAAGTGATTGGACACTTAAAAAATAAATTAGTCTCAAATCTTATATCTTTGAAAAATAAGATTAAAAAAGTGAAAGCTTAGTTGTTGTTGTTGCTGCTACTTCTTCAAAAGAAGCAGTTTTTTCCCTTTCGGTCTCATCCACTTAAATCAATATTTTGAGCCATCGAAAATCTAATTTTAATGTCGTCGTTCTTCGTCTTTAAAAAGGAGAGGCACGAATTTGAGAAAAGAAGCCAAAGGGATTGGGTGCTTCTTTGGAACTATTGGAGGTTATAAATTGCAGTTTGATGTTGCCAAATAAAATGAACACATGTGGGCAACCCCAAATGTTCGGAAAAGCTCCATTAATATTCATTAGTAATTCTTTCCCATTTAGGCAAATATTTTCCTTAATTTATTCATTGGATTTTCCCTTGACTTCGCCGCCAAAACAAGAAAAAAGAATCATTCTTTTTGGCTTTCCATTTCAAAAATCGCAATAGCGTCATATCCACATCCACAAGTATTCGAAGCTAGACTGTAATTTATTATTGAAATGATGTTCCAGATTCTAGTCTGCGATAAAAATCGAAGGAGTTTGCTCTGTTCCCTGTTTCGGTAAAAATTGTATTGGAAATTTTTGGAATTTATAAGTAGCTTGTGGTGACACATGTATTACTTTGGCGTTAATTTCTATGCTAATCCTGGCCCAGAACTTTGATAACTGTATTCCTTTGGGGTCATATTTGCGGAAAATTCTTAATTTCCTATTCGCTTTCCTCTTTATATCGAATATAAGGTGCATCATTAAAATTTTCTTTTTCAATCTTTTGAGAAAATTTATTTCTTCTGTGCATCCCTCCAGTTTCACTCAGCGTGGAATAGAATTGCATAACGATAACTGAATACACAGGAGGCAGACAGATTTCTTTCTTTCTTTCGTAAAATAACAGACTTTTAATAATCACCAGAAATAAACAATAAATATCGTATCTAGATTAAATTTTGTTTTTAAAATGAAAGTTAGTGCTTTCTTTAAATTAAATTTGTTGGAAAAGCCTTTTTTTCTTAAAGTGTATATAAATGATTCATGAATGTAAATGATTTGTGAGAAGTTAAAGCTAAATCGTTGTAGAATTATGTATATACTGAAAAAACTTATTAGTAACATAGTCATTTTTTATTTAAATTTATTTCTTTTAATTTTACCTGCGGCAGGTTTCTTCTTCATTGATATATTTTTAATATTTCTGCAAGTCTCGAAATAAAATAATTTCGAATAAGAAGCTATTTTTTTGTTCAACTTTTACAGAAATTTTACTTGGTTGCAAATTTTCTACAATTCTGGTGTTTTTCTTTCTAATCTGAGAAAATTGACAGAATTTACTTGCATTATTTTCTTAATCTTTTCTTTAAGAAATATATTCAACAGAATTAACTCTATGTTTTTGCTGTGTTTTAGTGATAAAATAAATATTGTTGCTTTCTAAGGGTTCAGGGATTTCGAGTGGCTGACGACAACTCTTGATGAAATTTATTCACCAGTATTATGCAGGAGAGTTCCAAAGACACATTCACAGTCGGCGATAAACACGCTGAAACATAGCTCCATAGTCCTCAGGCTATTGGGCTGTGTCAGGCTGTTGGCAGGCCTTATCAACACATCCCTCAAGCTGCAACGGTGAAGACAGCTTCACGGCAAAGAACTAAAATACAGCTGCCTACTCGATTCGGTCGCTCTCAAGATAATTTCTGAACTCAAAACATTACTACTGAACTCAACATACTATGAATACTGTCTCAAGATACACTGCTACTCCGCGTACAGAAGGATGTTTATAGATTTTCACCTGTTTTCGAGAACATTCTAGGGAAAACCGGTAAGAATTCGTTCTAGAATGTTCTCGCTCAGTGTATGGAATATAAACATGTTTTTCGCCAAATGGGCGTTTCCGCGCGAAAACTGGCAACCCTGCCTTTCCTTGACTCTTTCTGGCAACCCTAAACCAGCTTTGAGGGGATGCTATCTATCAAGAACTTCTTTCTTACCGATTTCAATAACCGTTTTATTTGCATTGTATGATGGAAGATTAAAGCTGTTTGTTTTGCACAGCATATCTCAGATAAGTGAAAACAAATGCTGCTCAAAATCGATGATAAAAATTAAACTGCAACAATGCTATGCCAGGTTTTGTATCTTATATATAACAGAGAAGACATTTTGAAGTATACTCAACGTTTCATTACAAATATTTACATAATCATAGAGCTGTTTTTATAATTCTCAGTATACATATTTGCATAACACATGCCTTAAGATCGAATGTTTGAGGATCATTAAAATGTGATTGTCTTAAATATGATTTCAGCCAGCTGATAAAGTAATGAGAACGCCTGAGTGCAGTTAATATACTCAAATATTTAACTTAAACCAGTAGCACGAGTAGAATCCTAACCAAAATTTAAGAATCGATTTAATATAACAAGATTATGGTTTATGATACTGGTTAAAAAGAGTTATTGGAGATTAACATTTGATCTCAAAGCAAAATATAAGACAGAGAATCAGGTAATCTTATTTTATTTGCATGAATTTTTATCAAATACCTGCATATGAATCTAACTTGCGATCAAATAAATACAACATTTACTAACTAAGATTCTTTCCGATAAATGATTCTGCAGTGTTCATATTATAACTACTGTATTGGCCTCTAATGACGAAAGAACATTTCTTTTAAAATTTTATAACTTATATTGCTTAACAGCCTATTTATTAACCTTTGTTCGCAAATATCTTGAACACACTTATTATTACTTGTAGAAATACAAAGGTTGCACGCACACTTTTAGACGATTTTGCTTTGCTAAAAAAAAAAAAAAAAAAAAAAAAAATATATATATATATATATATATATATATGTGCCTCGAATTTTTTTAAGAGCAACTGTATTTTGGAACTTAATAACTTATCGTCTGCTACTTGGCAGTTTTGTTTTCACACAAAATTACGCTTTTAAAGAAGCAATAGATGGGCAGCTATGTTTTTGCTCTTTCCGAAGAAAATTATTCGCATCTAGGTATTAAAAACGTTGTAAAAGCCATGGTATTTCCGTATCTAAAGTAATTGTAGGTAAAGTTATCGTTCTGAATTTCGTTCTAGAATGCTAGAATAGTTTACCCAATGATATTTTTATATTACCCTCCCAATACATTTGAAATTCATAATTCAACAGCCGTTATATACGTAATTCATAGTAGACATTGAAATATAATGCTCTTCCCTATAGCCATGGGACTAGTTCGAAAGGCGTAATCATAGGCTGCCCGTTAGTCGTTAAGAGACTCTCCAGATATGTCCTGTTCAGTTAGTTATGGTACTTTAAAGGTACAGCTAAAACTAGCTGTACTTATGACATCTCACTGTTCTCGAGTAATGCGTTTACGATCCAAATAATATTGTCTTTTATTTCCAAATTAAGCTCTTGATCATTTTACTTACGATTCATTGTTATTTTTAATATTTTAACTTTAAATTACTGCATTTCATTTTGTTATTTTATTTCTTCGCCTATTAACTGTGATCCGCCTTAGGAGATTTGTCTTAGGAGCGGAAATTTGGTAACTTTAATTAGGATGGCAGCAATGGTTATTTTTTACATTGTTTTTTTAAACCTTTTTCAAGCTTTTCCATGAGTTGTTGAGTAGTGGTTGTTACATAAATGACCTGGAGTGTATTACTTGTGAGAAAAATTAAAATTTTTGTGAGTTCTAAGATTTCAGCATTTTGAAAACGCGGTATATCATATAATTATGTACATCATTTCCATTTACTGTGTTCTGCCGTGTTATTTAATGGTTTTAGAATATATTTACTAACTATTTATTGTCAACGTGAATTTTACTTTCCGGTGAGGGCTACTTAAATGTCGATTTCCATTTGGGGCTCATGGCACAGTCCATATATTTTCCACTTACATTGAAAATTCCAGTCTCTATGTCAATCTAGACACCCAAAAATAAAGGTAACTTAAGAGAACCAAATTTGGCAGTTAATGGGTTGATCTCAGAATGGGTGTAATTTGGTCTCTATTTAATATTGTTGTTGTAATTTTGCTTCGTTTTTACTAATGCGTCTGTTTTTACAGCGATGAAACCTCGCCTGAAGGATCATTACCATGCTCATAGGCTCTCCTTCTGGTTGAACCTCATTCCTACACTCCACCGATCAGCGGCTGCAGAGACGACAGCGCGGCATCATCAATTAGAAGACCATGACAATCCTTTGAGTTATGATGGTGTTTACAGACAACGACCGCTGCAAGATCCAAATCCGGTTCTCTTCTACACGACTACCCCTTTTATCACGTCAACTCAACAGCCTGGTGATCAACTGACTTTCACTCCCGAATTATCCAGCTCTACAGAAGACAGCAGTATTACGGCTGCCACAACTTCCAATAACACAGATTCCTTAGCCATGATTATGCAGCAGGGAGCGTATTCTACCGCACTGAGCGTAACTATTGCAATAGGCTGTTCCTTATTAATACTCAATATACTGATTTTCGCAGGCGTCTACTACCAGAGGGACAAGCACAGGACAGAATGCATGCAGAAAAGAGAATATCAGGTACAAATTAAATTTTATTTAATCAAGAAGTAATTAATGATTAAAATGACAGCTTGATGTAAAATACGATAACTTACGAAACTCAACAGTCATTTCCTAAATTATTCCTTAACTGGATTGCAATGAAAATTTGAAAAGGCATGAATGAAAATGGTGGACTTTATGTAATGTATGTCCTATGGTGGACTTTATGTAATGTAAGGTATCTTTAAATTTTAAAATACTAAGGAGCGAATATTTGTTTCCTATGAATTTTTTAAATTCTAATGTGTGTCTAAGATCCAGAATTATGAAAATAAAGCTTACATAAGGTCCTTTCTTTATATGATGTTATATTCAGAATATAAAAAATGGTTCCGAAGTAAACTCTTTGATGTAACGCTATGGTTCATTTAACACACTTTTCTATTCTACCATTGTTTACATTTACATTTTCTCAAAATTTGTATATTTAAAAATTTTAAATAAATATTCGTTTCACTTCTCAATAAAACGTTAAGAACTGTTACTAAAATGTGAAGCTATGCTTAGCTCAAGCTATATGTAAATAATTTACAAAAATAATAAATAAATAGCAAAAATTAAAGTTGTTGACTAGAATAATAAGCATATTAACTTAAATTTTGCGCAAACACTCAGAATAACAAAGGATTTAATGCCATATAATGCAAATTTATATATGCACATGTGCAAGAATTTCTTTTCTTACCAATTTCAATAACCCTTTTATTTACAGTGTATGATCGAAGATTAAAGCTGTTTGCTTTGCAAAGTAGGTCTAAGATAAGTGAAAACAAATGCCGCTCAAAATCGATGATAAAAATTAAAGCACAACAATGCTAAGTCAGGTTTTGAATATTATATATAATAGAGAAGAAATTGCGAAGTATACGTAACTTTTCATTACAAATATTTACATAATTATAGAGCTTTTTTTTATAATTTTCATTATATATATTTGCATAACAAATGACTTAAGTAAGTATCTTTCAGGATACTTACTTAAGTCATTTCAGGATACATTACTTAAGTACCTAGGCAGAACACGAGAGTTAACGTTCTTCTATTTTAATCAGGAAATTACTTTCAGAATTAAATGAATGGGCATATACATTGTTCATGGTTGTGCATACAAAGTCTGAGAGTGATATTTCAGTCAGGTTTTGTCATTAGCTTCTATTAATGTGAAATAAATAAAGTGAATAATTTCAGTTTTTAAAAATTAAATGGTTTTTCAGATTTAACTAGTCTGATGCTGAAATTTCTAATTTGAAAAGCAATGCATACTAAAAGGTTCAAAATTTACTAATAAACTTGAACAACGACTTGCAAACTGAAAACTCTTTGTTTAGTGTTTCATTTTCAGTTGAAAGACGTTTCGAATACATTTCGAAAGACAACGAATGGTCTCTGTCATTGCGGATCAAATTGTTCCGCTCATGCGTAAAAAGTACGTTATTCTGCGGTAGGTAAGGGTTTTAATGTCATAGCTAAAATGTAGTTCTTTGACAGCTTGAATACTTGAAGAACTAAGTAGCGATTATTCGCTGAATTCTTGCGCATAAGTAAGAACTCCGGAAAAGGATAAAAATACCATTTTCTTCTAACTCAAAATAGATTTACAAATGGGCAAGAAAATATAAAATTAACTAATGCTAAATAAATTTACGTTTGTCTTAAAAAATAAATATTCAAAATATAAACCCTATAAGGTTATAGGTATTTTATTAAATCCTACTATTTTACTAAATACAGAAATATAAATATATATTTTACAGAGTGCTTCAGGTTTTCCGAATGCATAAATTAGTTTCCTTTCGCTGAAAATTTCTGCTTAATTATTTGTTTGAACTTGTTGCTTCCGCCCACACGGTATAGTGGTTAGAATAGCTTACTGCGGTACCGAAGGATACAGGTTCGAATCCCGGAGAAGGCATGTTTGTTAATGAATAGTGTCTTTGCGGCATGGGAGGCACTCTAAGTATATTGCGAGCCGAAAGTACTCTCGTGTGGTAGAGGAGAGGGGTGGGAGACCTCAGACCACTTCCCGAGAAGATCTCCCTCAACCCTGTGTTGGAATGGAAATAGAAGTCTAACCTCTTTGAGACTCTGGCAACCATTCTTTCATGAAATCCCTAGACTAAACAACAACAATTGTACTGCTATTTTTTTATATATAATTACTAAATAAACGTTTAACGTACTGAATTTCGGTAATCATATATTTATGCTATGCAAGTTGTTCATGAAAAGTCTCAGGTAGATTTAATTCCGCAAGCGCTTTTTATGTATATGCACTTTCAACTGTAAAACAAAATGCTTTAAATAGTTTAAATATTCCTATTATAACATGCTTTAAATTTATTAAATCAGTTCTGTAAAAATTAGGAAATCAAATTTATGCTGTGGCCAGCCTCCCCCTATGGTTTTATTTACTATATTCATTTAGTTTATACTCATTCTGAAAAATCTAATCCGTACGCTAACAATTGAAGGAAATATTTAAAATTTGAGATCATATTCAGGCATAATACAGTTAAAGAACGAAATTCCCCATTTGTATGTAGCTAAAACTGAAATATTGATTTAGAAAACGTTTCTGATGCTAATGGACAAAAAGAAAAGAATGACGGGCTTCAGAACTGCCAATCTATCATCTCGTTATATTATTTGCATAAATTAAAAAAAAGTAATATTTTTCTAGTTTAATTAAATTAGTAGTAAAATTATTAGATTGTGATTTTAAAGTAATAAAATTTAATTGATAATAACAGTGTATTTAATATTTTAAAACTTATAAATGATTTTAAATTGAAGAATTTTTTAAACTAGTAAACTACGCGAAACTATTATTGAATGATGTAATAGAAATAAATCACTCTGAAAGAACTTTAATTGGTTCTTTGATTGAGTCTGAAGAAAAGCCTAAAAGAATGTTAAAAGTTCCAAATTTCGATTTTAAATATTTAGATATATTTTTTTTTTTTTTTTTTTTTTTGTCATACTCAAATGAAACGTTCTGTGTTGTATTTTTTGTAATGAGTATATAAATGCTTGGTAAATATAACCTATGGTGGACTTTATGTAATGTAAGGTATCTTTAAATTTTAAAATACTAAGGAGCGAATATTTGTTTCCTATGAATTTTTTAAATTCTAATGTGTGTCTAAGATCCAGAATTATGAAAATAAAGCTTACATAAGGTCCTTTCTTTATATGATGTTATATTCAGAATATAAAAAATGGTTCCGAAGTAAACTCTTTGATGTAACGCTATGGTTCATTTAACACACTTTTCTATTCTACCATTGTTTACATTTACATTTTCTCAAAATTTGTATATTTAAAAATTTTAAATAAATATTCGTTTCACTTCTCAATAAAACGTTAAGAACTGTTACTAAAATGTGAAGCTATGCTTAGCTCAGCTATATGTAAATAATTTACAAAAATAATAAATAAATAGCAAAAATTAAAGTTGTTGACTAGAATAATAAGCATATTAACTTAATTTTTGCGCAAACACTCAGAATAACAAAGGATTTAATGCCATATAATGCAAATTTATATATGCACATGTGCAAGAATTTCTTTTCTTACCAATTTCAATAACCCTTTTATTTACAGTGTATGATCGAAGATTAAAGCTGTTTGCTTTGCAAAGTAGGTCTAAGATAAGTGAAAACAAATGCCGCTCAAAATCGATGATAAAAATTAAAGCACAACAATGCTAAGTCAGGTTTTGAATATTATATATAATAGAGAAGAAATTGCGAAGTATACGTAACTTTTCATTACAAATATTTACATAATTATAGAGCTTTTTTTATAATTTTCATTATATATATTTGCATAACAAATGACTTAAGTAAGTATCTTTCAGGATAATTAAAAAGTGATTATCTTAAACATGATTTAAGCCAACTAATAAAGTAATGATAACGTCTGTGTTCAGTTAATATGCTCAAATATTTAACTTAAACCAGTAGCACGAGTAGAATTCTAACTAAAATTTAAGAACCGATTTAACATAACAAGATCATGCTTTGTGATACTGGTAATTAACTTTTGTCATAATTTTTAACAAACATGTAATTCATACCCTATTTTGATTAAAAACATTTCATTTAAGATTCATGGCGGGAGATATGCTAGTTCTTGGCAGAGTTAAAAAGAGTTATTGGATTTTAACACATGCCACATTGTAACATTTGACCTCAAAGCAAAATATAAGGCAGGGAATATGCTAATCTTATCTTATTTGCATGAATTTTTATCAAATACTTGCATTTGAATGTAACTGGCGATCACATAAATGCAGCATTTGCTAACGAAGATTCTTTGCGATAAATGCTTCTGCAGTGTTTATATTATAACTACTGTATTGATCTCTAATGGCGAAAGAACATTTATTTTAAAATGTTATGTAATTTTATAACTTATATTGCTTTATAGGCTATATATTACCTTTATTCTCAAATATCTGGAACACACACATTATTACTTGTAGAAATGCAAAGGTTGTATGCACACTTTTAGATGATTTTGCTTTGCTGTTAAAAAAAAAAAAAAAAAAAAAAAAAAAAAAAAAGTGCCTCGAATTTTCTTAAGCGCAACTGTATTTTGGAGCTTATAAATTATCGTCTGTTACCCGGCAGTTTCATTTTCATGCAAAATTACGCTTTTAAAGAAGCAATGGATGGAAGGCTATGTTTATACTCTTTCCGAAGAAAATTATTCGTATCTAGTTAACAATAAAAAAAAAAAAAATTGCAAATGCCATGGTATTTTCATATCTAAAGCTAATTGTAGATAATATTATCAACAACAAACAAAACAAAAAAACGTGAAAACTTAGCTTCAAGTGGATGACTTGTTCCAATTACGTATCGAAGGATAAAAGCGGAATGTTTCAAAATTAAGATTTTAATGTTAAAGAAAATCCACCAAGCCAAAGGACAGTTGCAAAGATCATTAAAATGTTTTGTGTCAACTTTAAA